AATGGTCAAAAAAGGCGTGTTCAAACTCATATCTATAGTCTAAACACATTCTAACTTGCCGTAGGCTGAAAATATGCCCCGACTACTTCTTTTGAACAGCCATACCAAGCTTCCGCTCCTATGGAGGGTTTTGAGTAACAATTTCAAAGACAAAGCTTCATTCAGCGTGACTCGTAGCAAGGACAAGATCCCTGATCTTGCTTCTGGCTTGAACATCTCGGTCGGTGATGAGGGCAAATCGAAGGTTTTATATTGGGCTCCTGGTGAATCTGAACCAAAATTATACGACGGTCAGAGTCATAAAATTTATCACTAATAGCATGCACTAACATTGGCATAGGTGTTCTCAAGTATGACCCTTTGAGCAAATTTGTGAACAATCTCTTGGAAGCTTCGGGGAGGGCCAAGGAGGAACTCTGAGGAGGGCTATCTAGGAACTATAGTATCATAGATAATCCACTGTCTTTCATTTTCATCGTGATAAAATAACTTCTGGGGAACATCAATCCTTCCTTGTGAAATGTAACATTGGTCACAGGTGGGGGGCCGTATAGGACCGACTGCTTTAATCGTCTATGGCGTTCCACGAATCGCGAGTGGTCCTCATAGAGACCGGCCGACGCGTCGTTCGCGCTGGACTAGGTCTGGGTGAGCTCCTTCATGTTCCCTCTGTCGTATGTACTGGTTGCACGTCAACAAATCGCCGCGGCTCATCTTAGGCATATCCCCAGGAAATATTAGCCAGAGTTGGACTGAGAAGAAGCAACATACTTGGTGCTTCTACCTCCGATGGAATTAACAGCAAATCTCTCAGTGCAAGGGTATCCGACTATCTTGTTGGCTCAAATCTAGACGACGCCCTGGAAAATGGCGACTCCGTCGAGATTTACTGGCCATTTTCTGACGGGAAAATAGTAAACTGGCCTCAAGCAGAGGCTATATGGTACGTTTAAGCTGCTGATGGGACAGAACTCGCTGACAAGGCATCAGGAAATATATACTGTTCGACCGCCTGAAAATCCGCCGTCAACTCAACGAATGTCCAGTCCTCCTTTCATTACCAGCCCAAATTCCTCGAATGGCACATATGATGTTATGTAGGATGTTCTTTGAAAGGTTCAACGTCGCAGGCTTCACATATATCGAACGACCTCTGGCAAGCCTTTATGCAGCGAATCTCATCTCCGGAGTCATCATTGAAATCAATCAAGATGAAACCGACTATATCACATGCTTTGAGTCGCAATTACATCACGGTTCTAGCTTAGTCGTCCCCATTGGCATCCGAGATTGCGAAAGATACTTAGGGCATATCTTGCGTTCCAACGTCTCCGTGACTTCGGCCTTTTCATCTGCAGATGAGCCTATGGACCCTCAGCGCCTAGATGAGCTTCTTGTCGAGCTTGCTCGGTTCCTCTGGCAGTCCGGGCACATCAAGATACCAATGGAGGGGGAAAGAGAGAAAGAGGAGGAGGGGAATATCGATATAGCAGCCATTCTGGTATCTGGCAAGGAACGTACCCTCATCGACGCCGCGAGCACAAAGAAGAAAGGTCAGCAGGCCAAAGCAGACAAGGAAAGGGAGATGGCAGCACTGGATATCATTACGGTACAATTTCGCTCTTTCCCGCCCATAGTAGTGGGTAAAGAGCGTCATCGATTTTGCGAACCACTGTTCGATCCACAGGTGCTGGCTAATGTCAGTATACCACCAGAAACCGCCATTCGAGTGGATGGTCTCTCACAACCACTCCCTCCTGTAAGAAAGGACCCGGACTTCATGGTTTCAATGCAGACCGCCGTCCACACTGTCGTCAAGGCCATCCCCTTTGCCCAACGACCCCATGTTTACTTTGGTCTTCTGATAACTGGTCCTATAGCTAATATTCAAGGTAAGACAT